TTTGTAACAACTTGGGAATCCAAACATCTTCGGATATATAACTTCCCCAGTTTATAAGGTATATCTTTGCAGGAAAAAGATTGTATTTTTTAAATTAATTATTCCATATCGTCTTTTCTAGCTACTCACCATAGGTTTTTGGGGGGCGATGTGGAGGGAGTGGGCAGAGGAGGATCTGAAACTTATGCTCTGTGGATGTTACACATGCTTAGTGGCTATTGATGCCACACAATATGACAGATGGAACTGGTTTCTCCTCTCTTCCCCATAAACCATTAGTACTAATCAAAGATGGAATCACATTCAGAAAGGACACAGGCATTTATTTCACAAAAATGTTTCACTTTGGCTATGACTCCACAAAATGTGCTGCTGAAATGACGGCATGAGAAAGAGACTCTCCTCTGTTTTTCCCTCTCACAAAGGTAGGTGTTAGGAAGATGGCCTAATCCATTTCCCTGATAATATGCTATTTTATAACCTTCCCCTTCAAAAAAGCCATTAAGGTGCTACCTGTCTATATTTCTGAGAAAAACATCTAGTTACCCTCACTGACATAGGCAGAATGGTGAACCCGAGTCTCTAATGCACAGTGTTGTGCTTTCCTTGAAAATCAATTCCACATAATGGATGTGATGCTTTGCTATTTAATCCAGAGTGATGGCTCAGCAGCTCCCAGTTGTTTCATACTCACAGGAGTCAACTTTTGCCACTCTTCACAATAGGTCTGTATCCAGTAGAGCGGCATAAATTACCTGGTAGAAGGAAATACACAATGTTTCAACCCAAAGGCCACTTCTCTGCTTGGCACATCTCCCTCGTTCATAACTAGGACTTCCCCAAACCCCCAAAATCATATACAAAATCCTAGTCTTTTTTCTAGTTTGAACCAGTGTCATCGGAAGGCATTTAGGATACATTTCTGGAGCGCACTCTGCGGAAGGGTGCAGGGCAGGAAATCAGTGAAGAGAAAGGGCAAAGGACTGAGGACGCCCCACAACGGGTGCAGGTCACGTGTGCGGATGCGCACCTCTCGTGAGCAGAGGCACTGACTGCTTCGTCCCAGACTCTTTTCAAGGATTCTGGTAGAGTGAACAGCCTTGGATGATAAAGACAGTGTCTCCCTGTGGAGGGATTAGCAGGAATGCTTACCGTCCAGCATAATAAAGACAACGTCACCTTCTGGCAGGCTTACTACCCATGACAAAAGATTTGAGTCCCTAAGCTCAGGGTTCCTCTCCTGTAACACAACCCGTTGCACATCCAGGTGCCAACAGGCCCTCTTCACATTGCCTTGTGGGAACTGGGGCTTGGGAAGCTGGCATAAATGCTAATATTCCAGCTGCGCTATTGCTGTGAAGAATGAAGTCCTTTGTCTCTGACCCAGGAGTCCTGCGTCTTCCACTAGCATCCATCAAACTGTGTCAGGCTATCTTGTTGGCTTGTAAGTAGGGTAAAACCTCAGAGCCTTCACAGTTCTTGACAGTCACCAGATGGTATTAAAAAATCTTATAACATTGGAAGGACTCCCTGACACAGAGGGAGTGTCTCTTACAGCATTGGGAAAGCATGTGTGGGCACAGCTCCCAGATCTGATCAGGATGTCACTCTATTATAATGATTTCTACATCTCTTTAGACCAGCAATTCTTACATTTATGGAATGGGGTCATAGACTTTTTGAGAATCTGATGACAGTTCTAGGAATATATCCTCAAAATCACATGTGAATATACACATATTTTGCAAAAAAATTTGCACATTCCTGGACCCCTTAAAGATATTAATTGGCCCTGAATCAGAAACCCTGGCCTGAACTGATTCTCCCTAAGGGTAAGAACCATAACACAGAATGGAAGTGCTCATAACACAGTAGGCACTCAACTAATGCTTATAGAAGGGGGCACGAATAAATTTGAGAAAGAAATAAGTAAATTAGAAGACTAAAAACTTACATAGATGATACTCCAAAAGATGAAACCAAAGAGGACACTAGTTATATTGGGGAAAAAAGTAACGGTAATAAAGGAGGTCCTGGTAATTCTGCAGGAAAAGTAACAAGGAAAATGGTCTCAGGAAAATAAACAGATTCAGACGAGGTGGCTAAGAACATAGACTCTACACCCACACTACCTGGGTTCATATCCTGACACTTCCACTCGCTAGCGATGTGACCCTGGGCAGTAACTTAACCACTCTGTACTTCGGTTTCATCATCTGCACAATTGGCATATGGCACCCACCATAGAACAGTGCCTGGTACATGGAGAGTACTCAATAAAGTTAGCTGTTGGGGTGGCGTCTAGATCCAAAGCACAGACTGTGCGTGATAAAGACAGAAGCCTTGCAATTCTGCTGCAATGATGCCGCTATTGTCTAACAGGCACCACTAAAACCCAGAGGGGTGAGACCCACTAACAGGACCTGGCAATGTTAAAAGAAAACTAACAAAGGAGGCAGGAACCATATGATCGTAAAAGATAAACTTGAGTGGAAATCCAGGAACCTCATAGGAAAGAAGGGGGTAAAGGCTACGTAGTGGGAGCTTAAAGAGCAGCAGACAGAACTGCGCCTACGACTCTCTCATGCATCGCACCGTGGGCCACAGTGCTTGATGAAGGTACCGTCCTGATTCACGACTTCTTCTTCCCTAACTTACTGTTTTTTCACCTGACCCTCTGATCCTCAGCCTTCCTTGGCTTTTGATATCTGCCTCTAGGCCCTCAGTTTCTGGCAAAATGCTGAGATTCTACTTCTGGCTTATGGAACCCAGTTCCTCTGTCTGAGCACCTAGTCTCAGCACCTCCGCAGCCCAGTATGGGATGTCTTCATCCTCCAACCCCATCCTGCCAGTTGAACCAACATCTAGGTCCCAGGGGCAGCTGGACAACAGAGGCCGCTCTGTCCAACAGAAGGTACGAATAGAGCTTCCCGAAGGCAAACTACAAAACTGGAGCAGAGGAAGGAAATGGCTGGGAAGGGGTCCTTCAATTACCCAGGGTTGAGAAATCTTACCTCTTCCGAAAGAAGAGGGGCTAAAGTTTCTTGCATGGCTCAAACATGAGAGGAATCTGTGAGGGGAATGGCCATCAAACTAACCACAAAGGCTGCCACATGAAAGTGACACAGTGTTCAGGGAGGACACCTTTGGGTTCATAACAAGAGCAGGAGAAGAATGCCGAGTGTTGTTCTCCAGGGCCACAGGCGTGTATGAAAAGCCAGTTCAGAAAGTACAGAGCAATGATGGACCCTCTCCCATCTACCAGAAACTGTAGAAAGGACACAGCACAGACAGCATAGGAAGCCCTCAGAAATGAAATTCGGAGGATATAATAAGGAAGAAATAAGGAGTTGGGGGTCACTGTAACCAGACTGCTCTCTGATCAGCAAAGAGAAAGAAAGGACATGAACAAATGGTGCGAGGAACAGGGCAAACTGAGGCCGAAGGCAAAGTGTGGCACAGAGCAGTGTCCAGTCGGCCGAGCACCAGACAGACATAGTCTGTGGAAAATACCATCACCCACAAAACGCTTCAAGCAGAGAACAAACACACTGTCCAGTGAAGACAGAGTAATATTCACAGGAGTCAGAGAGAAGGCAGGACTATCTTATTCCTATTTTTGCTTCCATATTTCTCTCCAAAGGAATGCTTGGTAAGCTAAAAGCAGCAGACGACACAGTTAAAAAGACTTGAAGCCCAAGATAGGTGGAGATTCTAAGAGCACACTTCGGCCTCTTTAAACTTGCTCGAGTGTTCGGATTGACCAAGCTGACTTATGTCCCATGCCCTTGAAGTAATTTGTAGCTACGATTGTGAAGCCGTGGTCAGCAATCTCTTTGAGACATTACAGAAACCAGAGCAGAGCTGGAACTGGAGGCAGGCAACCACGGATCCTGGTTTTCAAAAAGATGGGCTCAGATGAGGTAGACTCTGCTCTTGGGCAACTTTCTGGATCTATTCTGGAAGGGATTGTTGACGAGAAGGCCTATAGCAGTGGTCCCTGAGAGGAGACTAGGTGCTCAGGAAAACTGGCCTCATTCCCTCTGAGATAAGATTTCTAGACTGAGAATCTGATCAGTCCATAGACACGGCACGTGGGGATTTCACGAGGCATTTGAACGCGTCTGTGCTCCCTGGGTGGAGGGGATGAAAATGCAAAAGTGTGACACCACAGAAGGGTTTGTACCTAACTGAACCGCAGTTACACATTAACAGTGTTGCTTAATTTTCTCATAGTTGTCTGCTTGGCTTATTCTGTTCAGTGTTTTAATCAAGAACTTAAGTAGAGACAGAAGGCAATGTTTATCAGATTTGCACATAATAGAATAAAAGTTTAAAGGTATCTTGACAAGATAGAATGCAAATATGAAATTTAATAAGAATAAAAAAGTTTCCAAAAGGGGAAATACCACTTTAAAATTCTTAAGGCATTTCCACTGAGTGCAAGTTTATTAGTCATAAGTGATTTTTTCCTAATTCCTAAGAGTCTATAATTTCACAAGCATCAATAATACTTAAATAACAACTGTAGCAGCAACAGCCACAACAAAAAACTAAAACAACCCAAAAGGTCACTGCTTCTTTTGGCTAGCTCTAAATACATAATTAAAAGATTTTTAAAGTCCTAATCTTTGCAACCTCTATTCCAATAACATTGCAATTGCATCCAAGTCACCATGCAAAGACTGTTTCAATAAGCATATGCTGCCCAAACAGACGTCACCCTAAAATGATCAGAAACTATTGAGATGATGCCAAGAATGCAATAGTCATATGGAAAATTCACTTTACTTTCTGGCTGGCTGCCTCAGTTTCCCCTCCTGATAAATAGGGGTGGATAATACTTGCCAACACTACTCTGAGAGGTATGGATCATAAAGATCCACAAATAAATCCCTGTCAAGCCCTTTGGCCTAATTCCTTGGGAGAGGTCTCTAGCACCCTTGCTGCTCTTGTTAAGCACAACACTCATTCCACAGCATAAAAGGGTCCTGACTCACCCACCCCGAGGTTCCAGTCAACTGCTCTGTGGAGGGCTCTGGGTGGTTCCAGAGGAGAGTGTAGATGCTCACCACCACGCCTGGGGTGGAGAACCTCCACTGGATGTCGTGGCCTTCAGCAATCCATTCCTAAAAGCAAAGAACACAGGCGTCCAGCCTGAAAGCTAAGAGGTAGGAAGCTCTCAAAAATGAAACAGAGGCTTCTGGTGGCGACACTGAAGGTAGGTACAGGCCTGTCAGGTACAGCTGGAAGTGCTGTGGCTGTTCACACTGAAGACATCGAGGGAAGTTTCTGGGAAGAGATGCCATTGAGGTCGTTGGGAGAGGAAGTCCTCCAGTCAGCCCAGGGCATGACTTCAAGGACACAGCTTGGATTCAACCAAGACCGCAGACATTGAGATTGTCTGCCATGATTTTGTTCTCTCCCTCATTCTGCTACCACTTTCGGGGGGGTGGGGTGGGGGAGGGGAAGGAATTTGAATTGAGGGATTTATTGCAAAGTCTTCTGTCCATAAAGAGAGCTCCAGCTTTTCTGCTTCGTATTTCCTGTTCTGACCTTGGAGGGTTATCTGGAGTTTCGCGTTTGGACATTTTTACTAAGGCGTCTTCAGTACATGAGTTAAAAAGCCCTATACAGACTCAGCCCCGAGACGAACATGCCCGGCTGTGTGCCTCTGACGGTGTGAGGGTCTTCGTGGGGCAAAAGGACACACAGGCCGCTTATGTTCCTTCCTCCTGGCCTTTGGCTCAGCGGTCTGCCAGCAACCTTTATGGTGTGGGGAGGCATTTTTAGAACAAGACAGAATCCTTGCCCCTAAAGGGTTTATAACTTAGTTTGGGGGATAGTCAACATAAACAGTCTTGATTAAGGATGATTACATAGCCACAAATGCCAAATTCAAATATCCAAGTCACAAAAGTATTTTCTCTGGCTGGAATTAGCAGTATGGCTGTTAACACAGACCAAACATAGAATATGCATCCCTGTTTTCCCCATTTCATTGTAGGAACCAAGATAAATGTGAATTGCCCCCTTTCCACATCTCTGTGCAGAGGACACAAAGCCCTCTGGAGGGAGGGCTCCTCCCCAAGGCAGTGAAATGCTCTGAAGTGACTCAGACAAGGCGTCACTCCTCGGCACCACCTCGTTTTTATGGAAATGTAATAAACTTCAAATAGTAATAAGGAAAGCTGCAGAAGGAAAAAAGAAATTAAGAAAAGGGTAACATTTATTCCTGTGAAGGACAGAGGCCTTCACCTGCATCTTTGTCCTCAAAAACCATAAGCCATGGCCCAGACAACTAAAGAGGCCACCTAAACCCATGTTTATCCTGAACTCATTAACACGTGCTCTTACCAGAATGAGGTGAATCCTGGTTCTGGTGCTTCCTACACTCTCTACAGTGGTGACCTCAGCCCCATAGAGAGAGCAGATGGGCACCAGGCAGGTGGTGATGGAGAAGTGACTTCAGAGTTTGCACAATGAAGCCGAGAAGAATTGGCACAGTGACAGAAGCAGTTTCCAAAAAAGAAAAAGAAAACTGTATTTAGATGATTATAATACTAATTACTTTGACATGATTATAACTAGTTGAGTACATATTTAAGCTGGGCCATCACATAAGTGATTTTGAATTTGAGTATGGCTACCTAAAAATAAATATTCTATTACTTGGAATTAAGAAAGTCAATTCCTCCTCCAAACTATCTTGTTAAAAAAATATTTCAGGAGTTGAAATGGTTTCTATTTATTCCTATGCCCTTTTCAGTTTGTCACTTGTTCTGGCTGGTCAAATAATCAGCTGGTTACCCTTTCAACAATCTCTAGGTTATCTGTGAGCTTATAAAGATCCGGAGGATATGAGGAAGAGTTAAAAGAGACTCCCTCGAAGGCAAGTCATTCAATAACTTCACCAGAGTGTCAACTCCGTGGGGCAGGTAACTCTGTCTGGGCCCCAGTGCCTAGGAGGGGGGAAGCTTCAGAGACACTGGCTGAATGAGTAATGAGGATAACTGCACATCTCCCCAAATGCTCAGGCCACTGAAAGCACAAGAAATTCCCTGTACCTCTCAAGGTGAGAACGAGAGACCTTACACTTGACCCTGGATGTGGTCATCCGTCTGCAGGAGGGTTACTAGAATGGGTGGAGAGCAGGCTTTTACACCTCTCCTGTGTCTATCTTTTATTTTAATTCACACAAAGTCCAGACCGGGGAGGCAACTAAAAGGCATACAAATTATCAAAAATGGAAATATTTTAAACAACTAGAGACTCTCCAACACCACTTCTTTTAAACAAGGAAACCTAGAATGATTGGAAAAGAATATAATACAATTTTGGGTGTTTGGCCTGAAAAAAGAAAAAGAAATCTACAGCCATCCCACACAAAACGCCTGACCTTTCAGTTCATTCACAGATTGATGTTGGGGTGAGCAGAAGGGATGTAGTGAATCAGAGCCGGTTGTCTGGGTGGTCGTGGGTCATTCCCCAATGCCATCATGACATATTTATGGAGTTATATGAATGTGAAAATGTCAAAGTGGAGAGAACGGACATAAACAGGGTACTGACCATTTAGTTTCCAAGGACACTTTTCAAACCTTTTTTTTTTTTTTATATTTAAAGAAATCAACATCTTCCAGGGTCCTTCCCTGGATGCTGGCTCCTACTTCTTGCCTCCTTGTAGATGTGTTCTCTGGTCTCCAAACCTGCCCCAGGACCAGCCTACAAGGGGGCGCCTGTCTTTATGCTGTGATTGAGGTTTGGGACTCAGCCAGAACAACCTCCAGGAGGCAGACTTGTCAGCCACACTTTGAGGCTGAACTCTGGTGAATTCAGGCTGACCCTGGTTCTCCAGAGCTCCCACTGGTCAAATCTGGGTTCCATGGAGGGCCTCGTGCTCATAGCTGGCCAGGCAGCTGGCCCTGGAGACCAAGGCAGGAAACTCAGCCACATGTGATACGACCAAGAGACTGAGTGTCCCCATAAACTAAGTTTCTCAGAGTGAATCAGGTGTCTGGGAGTGGGGCTCAAAAATCCACATTTTAAACAAGATCTTCAGGTGATCATTATCCTTGCTCAAGTTCGGGAACCATCGTCATACACCATTCCATCTGTAAGGCAAGCCACTTACTTTACTCCAATCCTACCCACATTACAAAAGTTTGTCATGAGGCATGGTGAGAGGAAAAAGTTCTATAAATGCAAGGGAGATTGCAAAGTTTCTTGTTGGCCTCGCTTTCCCCCCAAAACAAAAGGATACAGTTTTTTCTCAGGTAGAACAATACATTTACTCAGGGTCTGAATCCTCTCAATGACCTGTGCAGAGGAAAGGATTATGTAGATCGAGGCAGTTTTCCCACAGCCCATTCTTTCTGAATAAGAACTATTTCGAATATGTTGATCTCGTATGCCTGAGCTGATCAAACACCCACTCTTGGCAATTATAAAATTATGTAACACTGATTGTATTTGGTTTTATTTTGGCAGGACAAATGTTTGGCTTTGTTTCAGAGGATAACCAACAAGGATTTGCATTCTAACACAACACTGGTTTCAGGAAAATAATAAAAGATTATGAAATGCTGAATATTATAAACTTTTAAAATTCTTGAGTTGACGCAGTTGAATAAAAGGGTTTTAATTCTCACCACTATCTGCAAAAGACACTCTTTGTTCTCTGTTCTTCCCTCATATTTGAAAAGTTAAGAAAACAAGACCTTGGCAGCAGTAGACAAATTTCCACATCCTCAGGAAAGCATCCCCATTTCCCGTCAGTGAGGGAATTCTAGAAAACTGGCCACGTCCTTAGGAGAGGAAACTTGGCCCAGGGGGAAGAACACAAACTTTGGGAGCAGACAGATGAACAGCAAGATCTCTCTGATGCCTGCTCATGAGGTGATCTTGGGCACATTACATAACTGCCTTGAGCCTTCGTTTCCTTGCACAGCCCCACGGTAGAGTGCGGGGCACGTGGGACTAGGATGCTCAGTTTCAACATTGGCAACCTCTTCCTCTTTGCCAGTGGTGCTGAAAACACGACCCTGGGTTGCCTTTCAGGCACAGTGTCAAGGACAGTGAAAAGCAAAGAGCACCTTCCATTCGTGGATTATGTCTTAGCTAAACCTCAAGAACTCAAAACAAAAGTGAGACCAGAAAATTATTTTGCTCATTCTCTTAAGTGATTTAAGAGTCCTTGCTTAAAGGAGCAATGTATTAAAGTGTGAACTAACTGAAATTTATTCCTGGCTTTCTGGTATGACTTCTATTCTTGCTGGTCAAAAGTTTTACAATTATTTGCAAACGATCTAAAGATTTTACACTGTTAATTAGTGTGTGTTTGTGTGTAGCGGCAGCGGTGGTGGTGGTACAGATGTTTAAGGAGACAGAGCTGGGGGAGGAAGTGGGGAGAAGAGAGAGATGCAGAAGATTGTAATAAAGAGAAGTCGGTGCCTAACACCTAAAGGAACTCAAAATCAGTTACAAAACGTAGTCTGAAGGCACCATAGAATCAGATGCTTTTCATCCAGGAATCCTAATACCTTGTACAAGTAGGATCTCTCTCTCCTCACGGAACTACAGATGCAGATTGATGGAGGTTTGTCACAGTCGTAGAGCAAGTCACCAGCTCACACCCCGCTCACTTCAACCTAATACCTTCTTTCTAACACGGTCTCTTTCTCTACATAAACCTAGAAATAACGATGTGGAAAACTTACCTGTCTTCCATTCACAAAGAAAACAAGCTCATCTGAGTCCATAGAACAGACATTATGACAAGATAATGGGCTGAAAGTCGTGAAATTATGTGGAAAGCACCTACGACTGCGTCCACCTGACAGACTCGGCGAGATGCTCCTGTGGGAGGAGGGACAGGGGACGGAGGGCAGCTCAAGAGGTCACTTTGGCCTGCACTCCTGTGTGTCCCGAGTTTGTTCCAAACAAACCCTGTCTATCTGGGCTCCCAACCCTTTTACTCCCCACCTTCCTCTGCTACCCCCACTCCCCTCCTCCCCTGGGCCAATCTGGAGCTTCAGTAGCAATCCAGTTCTTACACATGCACACTTCTCCCCACAATGGGGCGACCCACTGGGATAAAACGCTGTCTTACAGCCAGCAACAAGAACCTTCTTTAGTCAGTGAAATGGAACTAAATTAAGTCGTAATGCATTCAGGTGAGTTGTAGATGTTAAATGTATTTGTTTGTTAATTTGTGTTAATTACAAAACTAATGCATAGTTTTTAAAAATACAAAAGTGTGAAAAGTGAAAATCCTTCTTCCCAATTTTCAGACTTCAGAGTTAATTATGCTTCCTCTGTGCCCATACAGAATTTGCCCATGCACATATGACTCTATCTGTGTGTATACATGAATTATTTTTATTAGTTACTAAAAAGTGAATTCAAACTATTCATACTATTTTAAATTTGTTTTTTTCAAGTTTCTCAGGCTCTCTGTGCCTGTGAAATGGACAGAATAGTATCTCCCTTGGGGTTGAGAGGGTTACATCAGCTAATACACATAAAGTACTTACAACAGCACCTGGCACCTAGTAAGCGCTGAAGAAATGTTAACTAGTCTTATTATTGCCATCATTTATTAAACAGTCTTCTATTGATTTACATTAAGTTGTTTTCCACTTTTCACTATTACAAATAATGCTGGAAGGAAAATCCTTGGGCTTTAGCTTGGCACATTTGAGCAAATACTTCTGTTGCACAAATTCCTAGCTCTGGAAAACCTGGGTGAAGGGCATGCACACTACTAGGTCCAACTAACTCGCCTTCCAGAACGTGCACTAGTACAACGACTCATTACGGCAGAGTCTGCTTCCCCACAGCCTTCAGCAACACTGAGTATTAGCCATGCTTTCTGTTTTTCCAGTGTGTGGGGGAACGACAGCTGGTAGTGGGCATTTCTCTTGTTAGAGTGAGGTTTTCCATCTTGCTCCACATTAGTGAATATTTGTATTTATTCTTCTGTCTTTGACTATTTTCTCCTCTTAGAGTCTTGTTGGTGGCTGTAAGAAGGCATTTTATCCCAGAGGGTCACCCCAGGGCAGGGAGAAGTGCGCATGTGTAAGAACTAGATAGAGACTGAAGCTCCAGATTGGCCCAAGGGAGGAGAGTGGGGGTAGCAGAGGAAGGTGGAGAGAAGGGTTTGGGAGCCCAGAGAGACAGGGTTCAGTTGGAGGAACACACTCAGAGTGCAGGGTGTTCCCTCCGACCCCTGTCCCTCCTCCCACGGGAGCATCTCAGGGAGTCCCTCATGTGGACACAGCCATGGGCACTTTCCACACAACTTCACGACTTTCAGCCAATTATTTTGGCATAATGTCTCGTTCTATGGAGTCAGATGAGCTTGTTTTCTTTGTGAATGGAAGGTAACTTTTCTACATTGTTATTTCTAAGTTTATGTGGAGAATAGTTTGCATTTTTAACACATGATATAAAAACCTCCACTCACCTGCCCACTCCCATATACCCATTCACGTTCCTCTTGTCCCCAGTCTTCCACCTTTCCCTTTCCAGGTCCTGCCCAGCTGGCCAAACCACTCGCTACTACCCAGGAGTCTGTGTGTATTCTCACCTTGGGTCACTCTGCTTTCCACACAGAGTGGATAACCAGGTGCACTTCCCAAAGCTCTGCCCATCAGGAGAATTCCCCTCACCGCCTCTCAGTAGGGCTGTAGTGCAGACATTGCCCATATCTGGCTTATATGCACATACTGAGCCAACCCATATGTGAGCCAAGCTCAGACTCTTTCCTTCTCCATCAGCTTGTCATAAGGGACCTCTCGCCCCACCATGGAGTCATAGGTGTTACCGGGGGAGGAACCCCTCACCCCATCATGGGGCCACAGGTATGATCCAGGGAGAGACCTCTCACCCCACCATGGAGCCATAGGTATGAAGCAGGGGAGGGACCTCTCACCCCATCACGGGGCCACAGGTATGAACCAGGGGAGGGGCCTCTCACCCACCATGGGGCCAGAGGTGTGAACTGGGGGAGACAGGCTGATGCAACCCCAGTGGACGGCGGGGGTCTGGTTACCTGCTCATGCAGCTTGCTTGTCCCTTCATCCCTGCTTGCGCTTGATTCTCGAGGTACCCCTTCCATCTTACCTTATTGCTTCTGAGCTGGCTTCACGGCATTTGACACGATCCTCAAGTTATCTGTGTGCATGTTAAATTAGAGAAGCACTATGTGGCAGGAGACAGACATAAGGAGGGGTGGGAGTGACAGCCCCCTTCCAGGGAGACGACACGGGCAAAGTGAGAAAGGGAACAGGGAATCCAGGTGGTGACAGAGAGGGGTCATGGGACAATGCTGGAGAGATGGGCAGGGCCGGATTCACAGGGTGCATCTGCCATCTCAGGGATTTGGGACAGTGTTCTGGTGGGATGAACAGGAGCCGCTGGAAGGTTTCAGGCAAGGGCGAAACATGACCGTGCTGTGCGTGTGTCCATAAATTTATATGTTGCTTTGGCTTCACTGTGGAGAATGGTCTGGAGGGGAAGCAGAATGAATGCAGGGTGATCTGAGGAGACTACCGCAGGAGTCAGGGGAGAGAGAACGGCGGCCTCGAATAACATCGTAGCCATGGAAATCAAGACAGTGAGAGGCAGAGCTAAGAACTTTCCCTGAGGTGGGACTGACAGACTTAAGGCCTGACCACAGGCGTGCTCCGAGAGAACGGAGCATCTCGGATGACTCCCTGGTTTCTGGCTTAGCATCTCGTGGGTGGCTGTGCCGACAAGGAGATCTGTTTGGGACACATTAAGTTTGAGGTGCCTTTGAGACAGCAAGTGGCAATGAAAGGCAAGCGCTGGGTTTTCGGAGCTGGATCTCGAGGGAGAGAGGCCCAAGTGCGGGTAGAAATTCAGCAGTCATCCCCAGCCACGGGGTGAAGGTCACCCGCCAGGGAGAGGGGGCGAGACGACGAGGGACCCTCGGCTCCCTCGGGAATTCCAACATTCACAGACCTGGGCCGGAGGAGGAGGAGTCGGCACAAAAGGGACAAAAAGGAGGCGCCCACCAAGGAGGGGGAGAAAGCAGAAGAATCGGAAACCTTGGGAAAGCTGGAGAAGTTGCGAGAATCCTAGGAACGTGCCCTCCTACGATGACCTGTGGCAGCACAGCACCGGGGTGAGCCTTTAGAGGGTGTCAGCTCCTGCTGCTTCCTGGCTCTGCATTTCACTTGGATTAAACGCCTCCATCCTCACAAGGGTCTCGAGGTTCGGGGTGACTGCCCCGTCCCCAGCCCTGCTCCAGGCACGCAGGCCCCAGTGCTGTCCCCCAGGGAGGCCAGGCACCCCCGCGGGGCCTCTGCTCTCGCCCCAGCAGCCTCTTCCTCCGGGTGCCTGCTCGGCTCAGGCCCTCACCACCCTCGTCCCTGACCTGTCCCCTGCAGCCTGCTCCCGGCCTCGCCCTGCTCTGCTGTCACTCGTTCCCTCGGCACCCACCAGCATCGACCATTCCCCACCATTTACTCACGTCTCGTGTTGCTTATTTTCTGTCTGTCTCCCCTGAACACAGTATCATCTCCACAAGGACAGGGATCTTTGCTGGGTTGTTTACTGCGATCTTATGGACCAGGACCGTGCCTGGCGCATGGTGGGTGCTCCGTAGTTGTCTGTGGTATCAATGAGAAAGCCTGCTCTTTACAGGGCTTTAACGTAACCACTGGTACCATGAGGAGAATGACCTTGGTCTCTAGTCAGAGCCCATTGAAGAGCCACTGCCGTCTTCCCCTGGCCCAGGAACAAGGGTCCCGAGTTGGGAGTGTTATCACACACCAGTCCCAGTCCTCTACCCCTCACAAGAGATGCTTCCCTCTGCTAGGAATGGAGATGGAGTGGTCCGGGGTGATGTCCTGCTGTGTAGCCCCCTTTCAGGTGTCCTGTCACTGAAGGCCATTGGGATAAATTTCTTAGGATTCTCACAACTTCTCAATCTTTCCCACCTTTTCCATTTCTCTGCCATATCTTTTTTTTCACACACCATAAAATTCACTGTTTGAAAGTGTACAATTCAGTGGTTTTTAGTATATTCACAGGGTGTACAGCCTCAGCAGTATCTAATTCCAGAACATTTCCATCACCCCCACAAAGAAACCCCCAACTCAATAGCAGTCACTGCCCCACCCCCTCTCCCCTCAGCCCCTGGCAACCACTAATCCGCCTCTGTCTCTATGAACTTCCTGTTCTGGACATTTCATACAGATGGACTCACACCACATGTGGCCTTTTGTGTCTGGCTTCTTTCACGTAGCGTAACATGTTCAAGGTGCGTCGTGCTGTGGCATGTACAGTGTTCCATCCTTAGTATGGCTGAATAATTGCCCCTTGTTTGGACAGTCTACATTTTGTCCAGCACATTTTGTTATCAGTTGGTACAGTTCTGTTGCTTCCACTCTTGGCTATTATGAATACCGCCATGAACATTTGTGTGCAAGCTTTTGTGTGAACCTATGTTTTCAGTTCTCTTGGGCATACACCTAGGAGTGGTCATATGATGATTCTATGTTTAATTTTTTGAGGACCTGCCAACCTGTTTTCCACAGCATCTGCACCACTTTCATTCTCCCCAGCAATGGACAAGGATTCCAAATTCTCCACATCCTTGTCAGCACTGACTCTAGTCCAACACTTTGATTCTAGCCATCCTACTGGGTATGAAATGGTGTCTCACTGTGGTTTTGATTTCCATTTCTTTAATGAATAATGAGTTTGAGCATCTTTTATTGTGCTTACTGGCCATTTATATACCTTCTTTGGAGAAATGTCTATTCTATTTCTTTGACCATTTTTAAATTGGGTTATTTATCTTCTTATTGTTGGCTGATTATAAGAATTCTTTTTATATATTCTGCACATTAAATCTTTATCAGATATATGGTTTGCAAATATTTTCTCTCATTCTGTGGTCTATCTTTTCAATTTCTTGTAGTGTCTTTTGAGGCATACAAAAAAAGTTTTTAGCTTTGATGAAGTCCAATTTATTTGTTTATTTTTGGTCTCACGGACTCTTTAGATCCAGTGCCAGGATCCATTCTGACAAGAAAAGGAGGGTGATGGCAGATGGGGACAAATGAGAAAATGACAAGTTTACAGTTCATACTACTAATACAAGTATTGAGAAAAAAAAATTGCCTTTCAGCAGACGGTATAATTTCTGTTGGTGGATACAAGCCAAGTATACATCACACAAGCCATCCTCTTCTATTCCATTCAGCTGGATGGATTTAAGGCACAGAGTAATGGAGAATATCACTCCAGAGGAAACTAGTTAGTATTTATGCCATTTAAAATATGATTTATAAATTGCTTAAGCATATATATCAAAATCTAAATGAAACATTTAAAATCAGCATCATATAAAAACAATATTCTGTGAAATGATTTTTAACTGTGAAGTTCGTCTTTTAGATCTAGCATCTTAGAGCGCAGAGACTGGACAGATTGCTTTGTTGGAAAAGTCACCCCTTTTTGCTCAGAAGTTTATATTTGACTCATATGAGTATATTCCAAGGAACATAGGATCCAGGTTCATCTCTTGGAATCTAGAATAAAAGAACAAATCTGGATGTTTGCAACTTGGAAAATGTTTGTGAGAGGCAAAAAGTAGCAAAATAGAGAATAGGATAAAAAGTTCCCAGAGGGTACCCAGGACAATGGGAGGTCTTGGAAGGACAGCCTGAGAATGTGGAGGGATCCAGGAGAGGACCGGAGGGGGGCAGCTATGAGGGTCATCTCACCCTTGAAGGGGGACAAGTGAAAAGTGGAGTCAGTCTCTGTGTTTCTCCAGAGTGAAGAGGTGACTCATGGGGCTTAGGAAAGGCTAGGGGGCTCCACAAGGAGCCAGCGTAGGAGGGGGTGCAGCAGGGGCTCCCCCCCCCAGTAGAAGGAATGACTTGTTTATAGTCGGAGAGGTCACTATGATCGTCATGACTTCCTCCACAGTTAAAATCTCGTCACTGAAAATGACCAAAGGCAGCTGAGACGTTTCTCGGCAGCGGTGTCACAGGAGGGACTCCTGCTATTGGGGTCGGGCCAGAGAGAGCCCTTCCCACTCCATGTTCAAACCAGGAACTGCCCACACCTTCCCAGTGCCCGTCTGTGGTGGAGGGAGAGAGACTGGTGGAGTGGCCCATATTCTTGGCCTGGGGGTCTTAGGTTCAGAGCACACTTCCTGAACTTCTGCTCCTGACCAAGGTGTTCTGGGAAGGGATCAAAACAAGGGAGGAACACACAACTGATGAATGAAGAACAACTTTCTTTCTCCAAATGCTGTAGACCTGAGCCCGACTGCGGGCCAGGCAGCGACGGGCTGATGACAAATGCAATCCAAGGGCCACTCTGCTCTTCTCCTGCTCAAATGCCCTTTTCTTCCATGGAAAGCCACCACGGTGGGTTAATGAAACTGACCACAAGGACAGGGGACAAAAATCTAGAATTTCATGAGCAGAACGTACCATTTCCGTGAACTTATCTTCACAGGCCATTCTAATCTTCTCTGGGGTCAGTGGACTATTGAGCTTCAAGGGTCCACGCAGGCCTCTCTCCTGTCGCGCTGCGTTCACCGCGTCATGGATGGCAAAAAACACCGAACACCCCAGGAACAGCCCAGGCTCTCCCAGACCCTGGGAGGGAAACAAGTCCACTAGACTGTGACTCTCCTCTGTATATGCATGTATATATACGGAGATGGGAATCTATAGGTACATATGTGTGTATATGCATACATCAAACATTCAGTATTACATATGTAACTGTTTGCTTTAGAAAAGTAATTTAATATTTTAACCCAGTATTCTCATTCTCAGGATTCCAGCCTAAGGAAATGATCTCAAATGGAGAAGGCAAATATAGGTGTGAAGATGATCACTGCAACGAAAAATCAGATAAAATCTGATGGTGATAGTAGTTTGTATTAGGCTGCAAGATTTGGAGTAATTTTTTAAAATTTATAATGTTGTTAAATAATTTTATAATTAAAATGTTTAATAGGGCTTTTTCTTCAACAATCCTGGTAAAAACCCCAAACAACCAAGAGCTGAATGAAGCCCACTGCCCCCCCGACACAGATATCACACAAACGTGCATTTACTCCTCGAGCATGGCTTACCTTAGACGAATACAGAGTATTTGCGTTTTCAGAAGGAGGCAAAAAAGAAATGTGCAGCTCTGTGGGGACGTCACAGATGGCCGGGATTTTATATTGGTTTGGACCACGGGTGTACAGGACACCCTGAGGAGAATACTTCAGTTCCTCTATTGTATAGAGTCCCATGCCTTGAATAAACGCGCCTTCAACCTGAGGGAAGAAAAAACCAAAATTTCCAGATGAGAAAATACAGTCAACAGTAGCATTTCACTTCATGCTGTTGTTTGAATTTTTAAAATACCATTTAAGAGGGTTTTCAGCATGTCTTGAAGCATGTCTCCAAAATTTACTTAAAAGTTTACTGAAAAGCATTTCTAACATCTTATTCAGCACTAAGTTCAAAGTCAAAAGACTTGAGTTTGAATCTCAGTTTGGCACTAAAATTATAGCCTGGAGCCCAAACGCCCTCATTTTTCCTGCTTGGGGACAGGCGACACCCTCTCTGCGGATCTGCCCACAGCCCCGAGCACAGAGGCTCCCAGGGCTGAGAATCCGGTCCTGTCATCCACCATCCTTGCTCCCGAGCAGGCGGGCCTCACGTCTCTGGACGCAGTTTCTTTGCTTGTAACAGGAAGGGTTTGAACCGTGTGCTCTCTAAGCTTCCACTACAGCTGTAAAATGCTCCGGTTCTCAGAGGTTTGCACGCGGCCAAAATTACCTGTCCACTCGTTTTTCTGACTTCTGGGTCTCTTCTTCCTTTACTTCCTTCCCGGGGCCATAGTGCCCCCCCACCCCCACTCTCCATCCTCACTTCTGTCTACTGGCAGGATGTTCTTCTCTACCACGAGGTTAGAGGAATCTTCCTAAAAGTCCAGACCACGCCCCGGGCCAGTCACCTCCACCTACTTAGGTGCCTGTGTTCGTAGAGCCTCCACCAACCCGCCCTCTCTCATTCTCCCCCTCAGCCTCACGGCCACGCCGCTGACACAGGCGCTCACCACTGTCATCAGCCCTCTCCTCAGCCGTGAACACACAGGTGCTGCATTTCACCTCTTTCTCCGTTGGTGCCTCCACTCCCCACCCAGAAAGCCTTTCCCTGTTCATTCCTTGACTCCCTTGTCCACGCCCACCTCCTCCCTGAAGCCTGCTTGACTTCTCCAACCCACACATTCTCCCCATTCTCCAGCAACACAGGCGAGATCAGAGGGAGACTGCCCCAGATTATGTTCTCAATGGAGGTAGTGAGCGGAATGGCCCACAGGTGCGGGCAGGTAAAGACAGTGAGTGAGGCTTCCAGGTGGGTCTTGCATCCTAGAAGGAGAGCATGACTCTCTAAAGAGGCAGCCAGTTCACTTGTCCTCGTGGAAATGGAGCTCCAGTGAACTTGCTGTGTCCCAAGAGATGCTAGACATTTGAATATGTATGTAAAACAGCTTGTGATTTCTCAATCTTGCCAATTATTTCAAATTTAAACAAAAAATGTCTGCGGACAAAACAGACTACCTACCAATAGCTACTGCTGTAACTGTGTGATGTTGTTATCCCAGCCCAACTGTACGTTCCTCGAAGCTCAAGTCAGTCACACGCCCAAGGCTCGGCGCTCAGCACAACATTCTGCTTCTACCCCAAGGTGTGGGCTCGTTTTGTCACCTCCAGGCTCAGTCTTGCCTCGTTCAAGCTCCCCAATCACAGACTGTATGTTTCTTCAAAAACTACCTAAAACACCCTAGTTTCCTTCCTAATTTTAAACAATAAGAGGTGTGAGTTCTGTGGCTGGCCTGAATAGAAAGATTCTCATGACAGGGTAGAAAGATACGATGATGACCAAGCCAGATGGAAGGTTTTCCCTGCAGATCCCACAGCAGCTCTGGCTTTACAGAGAGGAAGGAGGCAGATCAGTGTACATACCTGACCTCTGTCAAGGGCTGGATTTATACTGTAGCCAATATCCATGACAATGTCTGTTCTGATGTTCTAGTAATAAAAAAAATTAAAATGTTTATTTTAATGAATACAACTTATGGAGAAAAAGCTGAGAAACAGTTCCTGCCAGGATGACATTGGTATAGAACCTTTCTTTGGGCCACATTATATTGCTGAAGAAAGAAGCAACAAAGATTTTATTGCCTTACAAAGTTTATTATGTATAACTGTCAAAGTTACATAAATACTCAACTGGCTTAAGCACTGATTTTTTTTTCTCTTGGAAACAATGGAAGAGAAAAATATTTACTTGACTTTGAGTCCAGCTGAGTGTTGCAACATATTGAGTTTAATCCACAGCAACAGACATAACATGACACAGAAAACACTGATGGCCCTCAGGACCCTGGTTGAGAAACACTGTGGCTCCCACCCAACCCAACAGCCAGAGTCCAGGCGCTGGGTGATGTTTACTGAACCACAGAACTCGGTGCATCAGCAAAAACTTCTTTCAACTGCTAACTGCTGTTCTAGATTTTTCATTTTTAAAGCAGAAGATAAAATAAATCTGACAGTACAACTTGGTGACCAAAAGTTTCCTGATAAGTTTCTCAGCATTTCTCCTACAAGTGAGGAGGAATACAGCAGGCCCCGCCAGGCTGCTGGTAACACCTTTGCTCTCCAGCAAGTCTGTCTCTTCTTTTATGTGACATAGTGGCTTCTGCCATGGCAAACAGATTCTACTTACGGTCATTAATGGAACAAAGGAAACCCAAGAGTTTCCTTATTTGATCTGGGACTTTCATCAAACAGTTTTCTCAAGAAAATTGGAGAGTGATCCAGAACGTTTTACTAAAATAAAAAATCAGGCACTCCCCTCTCTTATTTAAAGACACGGTGAAAACTGTCAAGTTCTCTTTGACACCATTTAGCAAGGCTGGCTTTCCAGGAGACCAGTGGCCTCAGCTGGAGGTGAGGGCAGGTGCTCTCAAGGCTGCAGTGTTAGTGAATGTTTTGTGTCAAAGCTGTGGACTTACTACCGTTTGTCACTGTCGTTTGATAGGGCTGGAGAGAGATGTTCCAGGTTGTGGTAGCCAGCCTCCAAGATGGCCTTCAAGGATCCCCACCTCCTGGTATTCACACCCTTATGTGGCCCTCTCCCACACTCTACCAGGGTGGTTTGTGTGACCAGCAGGATATGGCAGAAGTGACAGTGCGTCACCCCAATACTAGGCTATAAAAGACTGTGGCTTCTGTCGCTTCTGTCATGGGTGCTCTCTCACTTGCTCATACTCTCTCTATTTTTCTTTGGACCAGTTTCCATGGTGGGCGGACAGCTTTCATGTTCTGAGGACACTGCAGCATCCTACAGAGAGGTCTACGTGGTAAACAGTGGAGACCTCCAGCCAACAGCCGTGTGATGGAGCTTGGAATTGGGTTCTCCAGCCACCTGGAGATGGTTGCTTGACGGCAACCTCATGAGAAATCCTGCGCCAGAATCACCCAGACAAGCCACTCGAGATTCCTAACCCTCAGGAATGGTGTCAGGTAACACACATTTGCTATTTTCAGCTGCCAAGTTTGGGGATAATTTTTTACACAGCAATAGATAACTAATATATAGCTGCAAGTTCACAGCGAGGGAAATTTTGCAGGAATGAGAGCAATTCTGCCAACATGAGGAGAATGACTGAGAAACAGCTTCCAGAGAGGGCCCCCTTTTGCCTAGGGGTGATGCCCAATCCAAGCTACAGACCTAGCTTTTATGAAGGCATCTGGGAAGACTATTTAGCACATCTCTTAAGACTGTTCAATTAAGTTATAGGAACACACCTTAAAATTTCACAGCAAGGCTAATTACTACCTCGTTCTTAGAATTTAACAAGGCCAAAGCATATATAAGACATCAGAAAACCCAAATGAGTACGTTGACACCAGCTTTTTCATTGAAGGAGAAGAAATGCAGGCATCAGCATGAGAGAACCTTCTAGCAAACTCTCTAACATCTAACTCCCGAACAGCCAACACAGGACACCTACTTTGGCGTGAAAACCATGCTTAAAGCAATCACTGTTTTGCCCTCATCCAAAGTTCCCTAAAGCTGATCCATTCTGAGTTAGAACCCGGACAAGCCAGACTTGAATGAGCAGGTTCAATAAAGGTGTAGATAATTTCAAAGATTAGGCTGATTATAGTTTAAAAAACACACATGATGGACACACATTAAATGAAAACTTATATCTGAGCACAGTTCAAGATGTAGTCACAAAGGATGTTTGGAAATACCAAGAACTAGAGCTTCCTTCTGGGTAGGTTTTCGGACAGATAATCAGATGACAGCTGTGAGGGCATCACAGTCCCATTTAATGTATTGATGATCATTTATTATTATTGACAGTGGCCAGTAAGTGGCTTTGTTTACCCTCAAAGGCCCAGCTACAAGAGGAGAAGCTGCATGAGTCCATGAAGGAGGAATGTGTGTGTCTGAGTGTGTGTGTGCGTCTCCTCCTAGCATCCTTTAAAAGCATAAAGATGCTCTTAAAACAAAAAGAGCAGGACCTAGCTGGATAAAAGATATCGAAAGCTGGCCACTAGCTTCCCCGGGCTGGCCCGTGGTCCTTGTTAGCAGATATGCTCATGAACTCCTCTAAGAAGGTCATATGATGGCAGCTCACAGAAGAGGTCAGGATTTCTGGTTGTCCCAGCAGTCTACAAGACGCTCCCTTTAGGCTGTGCTGCTTCCTTTAAGCGGTTTCTTTCCTGATTCCATGTAAAAGCACCAGGGAAATAAAGAAGAGAGGCCACTGGTATTTTCCATGGAAGTAACCCTGGCATCAAGGCAACAGCTGAGCTTCTAGTCCTTCTGCGGACACAGAGAAATTACCCCTAGGCCAAAGACATGGCGTTTCTATGGTGCACAGATTGATGGCAAATGCGGAATTGAGGTGTATCTAGGGCACAACTCAAAGACCCTCCCCGTTGGTACTGACCTTATGAGCACCTGTCAGGCAGTCTATTTCCACCTCGGAACAGGCAGCTCCAAAAACAAAGTACTCGAAAGGATGGCCTTCGCCTGTCTCCCAGTTCATGTTTGCCTCATAACCCCTGGAGGAAACAGAATTCTTGAGGAGTGTTGTTAAGTGATCAAGTCCCCTAATTGCAGACCATGATGATTAAACAGACCCCTTAGGGGCTGTGCTCAATTTCTATCCACAGCAAACCAGAGGAGGACACTTGCGCAATGATGGGCCAGCACATAATGCACGCAGTCAACCTATGAATAAATACATATTGACTTCTTTCTTATTAAACTTGCTTTGT